TAACTAAGACTACATCTTAGCCATAATTATTCGCCAGGAAGATTGTATTCTTCCAGAATCTTGATGCTGATCAACGCTAGAAAATAACGTTAGCCTGTAAAACATTCTCTTTCCCTAGCGCACTACTTGGAGTATAAGAAAAAGCAGTCATCAGTAGACATAGTTCATTACAAAAAGATCCTATCTTAGAAACTCGTTTTCCCCACTTCAGTATAGAAATGACGAAAAAGTTAACTCCTGCAATGTCTTGATTTATTAACCATTAAATGTTTGTTGTTGTTTTTTTAATTTTCTTGGTATTAGTTTCATATAGTGATGACTTGAAACTTTTTATATATAGTTTTACTATAAAAACTGGAGAAAGTATTCTCATAGAAATGAATAAAAACCCTGTAAACCGAGTGCTTTCGAAAGGTGGACCTTTCTTCTTCAGAGGCAATCTTGGAATCCAGTTTGCCCCTGAAGAAGAAAGGTCCACCTTTCGAAAGCGCTCGGGTTATAAGGTTTTTATTCATTTCTGTCAATACTTCTTGAACCTACGTGTTTTTAACATCATGAAAGTATTCTCATCACAGCGTTAATTATTTTTTAAATTAAGATAAGGTTTTAAAGATGAAATGTAAAACACAGAATACACACAAGTGCTTGATCGTGTTTTCTGTGATAATTCAGTATTCAACCTATAGGCTTCATGAGTGATGTTTATGAGTTGTGCTGTTTACAATCTAAGATTAACCCAGTATCAGTGTCAGTGATACTACTTCGTAGACGATATTAGATGGACATCGTGTTTTATCCATTACCTGTTAGGTGACTAAAGAGTTCAGAATTTTACTTATCACCAAAGTCAAACAGTCTAAGTTATTCACTATTTTCAGCGTTTTTCAGGTTATCTAAAAATAGACTTTTTTAGCTGTGCATAACAATAAATCAAATGCTAAGATATTCTTAGGTTTTACTTGATGTTATATGCTCACTAGATAGAGCGTGAAGCTTTAAGAAACGCCTCTAAACGAAGACAAAGAATAACAAAATGCTTATAAATCTTACTTCTTCCGTCATCCTAAACTTATTTACTCTCTGTCATTATTTTGAACCAAATGTAGTAAACAATAAACTTCCAATCCTTAATTGTAAATTTATTAGGATGAATACTTACACCAAACATTGGGCATAAAACGTACCCATTTTTTGAAATAATAAACAATTATCATCCATATTTTAAAACAGATTATATTCTGATTTATTTATTTTTGTAAAGCATTTTAAATATGAATTATTTTTTTCTCAGAATTTTGTTTTTCACAGTTTGATTATGTCAGATCTATGTCCTGTAGAAAAGGTTTACTTTATGTTTATTTTATACGTATAAAAAGGTTTTAGATTCCATGAATACACTAATGAATGATATCTAGTACTCGATGTAATAAATAAAAAAGGCGCGAGTTGTCCCCCTGTGGTAGAGTTCTGGTTTTCGGAGCTGGTAAGCCAATTTCGAACCTGTGTGGTACCACAAATCATTCCCCGCTCTTAAAGCTATGGGTGCGTTATAATAGTGACGGTCAATCCCTTAACGTGGATAGTGGGTAGTAGAGTGCTGAAGATGAGCTGGTCCCTCAGCCAGTAGCTCAAAATTAGGGACAACAGCATATAACTTTGGCAGCTTTACCATAAATACAAAATGCAAATATAAAGAAATAAATACTGCACACGAAACACATTAAACATATATATTGTAGTTAGTGTTAATAGAAAGAAAAAATTGTTAAAATTGTTTACTTTTTGGTACATGAAAAATAATTTTTTTCACGAAAAAAAAATGCAATCAACATCCACGAAGGAAACTGTTATTTTTTCCTCCGAAAATTATCCAATAAAAGAGAGAGTATCCATATAAAGATTGTTCATTGAAAGAGAAAATAATATTCACCAAAGCAAAGTGTCCATATTAACACTGTTTAATAAGAGAGAGAAGTACTACTTATAAAAGCAAAGTATCCATATAAAGATTATTCATTGAAAGAGGAAATAATATTCACCAAAAGCAAAGTGTCCATATTAACACTGTTTAATAAGAGAGAGAAGTACTACTTATAAAAGCAAAGTATCCATATAAAGATTATTTAATAAACGTTTGTTTAAAATTAAGCACAAAGCTACACCACGGGTATCAAAACCCAGTTTCTAGCAATATAAGTCCGCAGACATACCGCTGTGCCACTGGGGGGTATTCAAATAACGTTTATATGGATACTTTGATTTTGAAAGTACTATTTTTGTTTCTTATTCCGTAAGAAAGAAAACAGTGCTTACAAAAGCAAAGTTTCCATATAAAAATCATTTGAACATCACCGCACAAAAAAGTTACTTGAGAAACATTCATTGATAATGTTTGAACGCTTTATTTTAAACTGGAAAAGTATGATTATAATCATTTATAAGTGTCATAAGGCAATAACATTAGTGTTATTATATTTATTAATACTGGATTCTCTATTCGGTTCTTAGAGTTTTCTGAGAAGAAGAGTACATAACAATAAAATTATAATAAATAATTAAAAACAACGTTTCCTATTTACAGAGTTTATAAATTTTATTGAAGCCGTACAAGTGTCGGTAATTTATATGTACGTAACAATAATTCAACCAACGGAATAAATAATATACTGTTAGAAAATATAATAACTTTGTAACTCTGGTTCCGTATTATTGCATTTTCTACTTTGCTTTCACCCATAAGTTATTAGAACTAACTGTAGGAACATAAAGTAAGTGATGTAGTTGTTTTCTACGGCAATATAAAATAAATGTTATATTATACCTGTTTACTTCAGCAATATAAAATACATGTTATTCTATACTTGTTTACTACAGCAATATAAAATAAGTGTTATATTATACTTGTTTACTTCAGCAATATAAAATACATGTTATTCTATACTTGTTTACTACAGCAAT